AAAAAAAAAAAAAGAAGAAGAAGTTCAACACCAGCCTGAGCAAGAGTGAGACCCCATCTCTACTAAAAATAGAAAAAAAGCCAAGCATTGTGGTGGGCATATGTAGACCCAGTTACCCAGGAGGCTGCGGCAGAAGGATCGCTTGAAGACAGGAGTTTGAGGTTGCTGTGAACTAGGCTGATGCCACCATACTCCAGCTTGGGCAACAGAGTGAGACTCTGTCTCAAAAAAAACAAAAACAAAAAAACTTCATTCCCCTGTTTCATTTTCCTTTTTTTTTAAATGTAACTACTAGAAAATGTAGGCCGGGTGCAGTGGCTCACACCTATAATCCTAGCACTCTGGGAGGCCCAGGCAGGTGGATTGCCTGAGTTCACAGGTTCAAGATCAGAACAAGAGCAAGATCCCATCTCTAAAAATAGCCAGGCATTTTGGTGAGTGCCTGTAGTCCCAGTTACTTGGGAGGCTAAAGCAAAAGAATTGCTCGCACCCAGGAGTTGGAGGTTGCTGTGAGCTATGACGCCACAGCACTCTGCTGAGGGCAAGAAAGTGAGACTCTGTCTCAAAAGAAAAAAAATGTAAAATGCTCCTTTGGATTTGCATTGTATTTCTATTGGATTGTGCTGCTCCAGGAGATTCGGATCTCCTACTACCTGTCTCAGGGCAGCATTGGCACCTCAGTCATGACAATGGAGCATTTGCAAGATCTGTAAATTATATAAGGACAATGGAGAACTGGGATGGAACACATTGAACACACTGAAGAATCAGCCTCCACTAACACCTAACAAATAAAACTTCTACCATAAGTGAAATAAATCTGAGTTCAAGCAAACAATTAAAACAGTCTTAACCCTGGACTGTGCGTGAAACCATTCCAAACAACTGTAGGTATAGATTTTGCAGAGCAAAGGTAGCCTAAGGGGTCAGCACCGAATGGAAGATGTGAGGTAACACTTTGCAGGCAGCAGCCTCGGCTGGTCTACAACACTTTGGTAACAACAGAAGGGAGCGTTCAACTCTGTATTTGCACCACTGAACAGCACTGTTCCCACCACATTGAGTTACATCCCAGCCTTGGTACCCCCACAAAACAGAGGTGCCCTTCAAGCTGAGGACACAGGGCAATCACTTAGCCTTGCTGCACCCCAGGTGCAGGTCTGCAGACAGCCATATAGTCAAAAGTGTAATAAGAGATCAGTGTAAAGATAAACCCACCAATTCCTTCCGCATGGCCACAATGCAATCTTCATCACTCAGAGACAAATTTTGAACTCAAACGCTTTCATCTCTGCATCCAAGGTGAGTGTGATTTCTAGTAAACTGGCCCCTTTTCAAGCAAGATGTTCCAGAAATTTATGCAGGGTAAGGGAGGGAACAGTCCATGGTGTATTCTCTTCTCCTTACAAACATACAACCTTTGGCAAGGTTTCTTTAATGAGGCCACAAGGACAGTATCACATGACCCAAAGACCTGCACCTCCTTCAGTTCTGTTGGGAAAGGAAGTCATCCTAGAACATCCCACCCTGCTGCTGCTGCTGCTGGCTTTACTCCCCTGGGGCGGCAGGAGAGAAGATAAAAGGAAAAGAGAAAGGGGAAGGCACCAGATGCCCAGAAGGGGAAAATGCTCTGGTGGAAACGTTTACACACAGAAGCAGGCACAGAGGCTTACCTTTGAGTTCCATGGGGCACATTCCCTCTTCCTGAATACTTAGCTCTATAGACAAGGAGCAACTCACTTTGTCCTGTCCTGGGCCCAGCCTAGCCCTCCCCACCTCCCAATCATGGGCTCAGCCAAGCTCCAGAGGGCACTGACCAGGTTTTATTTCTAGTAGCCGCAGCTTTGGATCCTCAGGTGGGTGTAATCGTCTCTTCTTGCGCCAGCAGCGGGCAGGATATGTATACAGCTGGCCCGGGGCAAGGCCTGTGGACAAAGACAATGTAAAGATTAAAGGTGCGAGGCTGGAAGGAGCCTTGGAAACTACCCTAACTCTATTATTCACAATGAGATGAAGCTGAAGCCCAGAGAGGTGAAGCAACTTGTTGAGGTCACACAGCTGTGTGATGGTACCCCCAAGGCTAAATCTAAGTCATCCAACCACAGGACCCTTGCTCTCTCTGTGCCAACATGCTGTTTAGCAAGCCCATGCCAACAGGAGCCATCACTTTTACTAAAATCAGTTCTGCTCTCTCAGCCTGGGGAGAACATTAGCTATACCTTTAGACCACAAAAGAAGCCTTTCTGGGCAGTGCCTGTGGCTCAATAGGTAGGACACCGTATACCAAGGGTGGCAGGTTCAAACCCGGCCACCGGCCAAACTGCAACAAAAAAATAGCCAGCCATCGTGTGGCAGGCGCCTGTAGTCCCAGCTACTCAGGAGGCTGAAGCAAGAGACTTGCCTAAGCCCAAGGAGTTGGAGGTTGCTGTGAGCTGTGTAACACCATGGCACTCTACTAAGGGCGACAAAGTGAATGTTCTTTTTCTACAAAAAGAAGCAGCCTTTCCAAAGTCATCCTTACCCAAGTGTTCTGAAGGCAGTGGATATCTACCTACTGCCCTTATGTCCAGACCCAGGCTAAGTGATTCCCATCCAGTAAGAGCACCACAAGTCAGGTGGCCTATCCTGTGGATGGCCTGGAGTAAGAAGCATTTCAAGGAAACAATCAAAAAAGCCAGATCTACTTACTGGCTTCTGCCACCCACTACTAGCTGCAGCTCACTGTAGCCAAAGGAAGCCTCCCAATTGTGAGAGGTTACACAGAAGGCTAGACTCCCTGGTCTCCAGAGCCACTGCACTGCAGATCCCTGCCTACCTGCCAGGGCCTTACAAAATGAAAGCCAGTGGCTGGGCTTATCTACCACACTATCTCCCTATAAGGGTCTCCATCTATATCTGGCCTTTGACACCACCAGCATCACGATCATGCCAGAAGCCCCCACAGGGAGGTGTCTTCCTAATCAGACCACAATTTCGTGGCTCCTATGGCACATAATGTGGCAATCAGGGGCTTTGGAGGATCGTGTACTCTCCACACTAGACCTCAGTCTATTCCCAGAGAAAAGGGCAAGAGTGGAGGCTGAGGGGAGAAGAGGAAGGTGCTTAATACTGGCTCAAGGATTTGCAGTCTACAAAGACTATCTGACGTCCTCCACAATAAACCAGGCAACCCTGGCTAGAGTGAAAAGCCCAGTGAGGACAGGGACTTTCCGTCTTGTTATAATCAGAATCCTTAGAACCACAACTATGCCTGACACAAAGAAGAACCAAACTGAATATCTGCTGAATGAGTAAGTCACAACTCTGTCTTCTGTAGGTACATGAGGCACAAAACAGCTGTTAGATGCAGGCAGCCTCACACAAGAGTGTCACTGCATACACCCAGGACCACGGAATTCAGAAGACATCAGGACTCAATTCCCATCTGCTGTCTTCTATTTTAGGCACCTTAAAAGTTGAGGGGAAATTGGCCTTTTTTTTTTTTTTTTTTTTTGTCTTTGTAGAAAATCTACAAAATTTTTATTGCCATATATCCATTCACTCTTTTTCAATAGTCATTCTAAACAGGTATTAGGTTGGGTCCAAAGCAGAGTCAACTATCCCAACATTAAAAGAACCAAACGTTTAGGTCTCTTTAAGTGCTAAGTATGACTGTAACCATGCCACTGTTCCCACAGGAGCCAGACTGTGAGCAAGTCGGAGGTTCTGATCCCTCGCTTTTTGATTCTTAGAAACCAGAGCAGAACCAGACTCAGAAATTCAAGAACTGAATAACCATTGGCCCTGCTGTTCCTGGGTCCAGATTCAGCTATTCAACAGGGACTCAGGAGGGGGGACTCCGAACTGAGCACCCCCCACCCCAGCATGGCAGTCTTGGGCCTCAGCTTGCCCTTTTGCCCCCTAGGTTGCTCCATGGTATTTCTAACCTGATCAAAAAGCAGGTGAGTAAAAAGGAGTTGGTCCAGACAAGCAGTCTCAAAAGGTCCAACTGGCAGGAGATGGAAACTGTCAACACGTGTCCAGGTCCTGCACCCTCCCTGAGATACTAGTCACCGTGCTTATTGGTCAGTGGCCCTGAGGCAGCCTCAGGCCACTTTTCTTGTAGCCAGAGGCCCTCTTTTCTGGAACACTCAATTTTAATAAGCAGTTTGAATAACCAGAAGAGGAGACTTTTTCATTCTTTCTCTACAGTCCAGAGGAAGAAGAACATGAGTCCTGGGAAATGTCCTAATACCTTCCTGAGCCTGTGCTCTTACCTGTAAGATAGGCATTAATAATACCCACCTTATAGGGATTGTCATGAGGATTAGCTTATATTAAAGAGAAAGTTCTCTATAACCACGAAGATGACAAATGTCTGTTGTTAATGATCATGAGTTAGCTGACCTAGAAGAATCTTAGACTTAATGTCCCTGTGATACAGACTGTAATGAGACCTCACCCCCTCACCCTGCCCACCTGACTGCTGCTTGGTCCTTTAGCCACAAGGAGAAAAGAAAGGCTTTTTGTCGATGTCTGCTTTGAATCCACCTTGTCTCAACAAGCAAAGAGCCCAAGGACTCCTTGCCCCCTTCCTCACCCTCCTTGCTAGGCTGACAGGCACCAGGGTTCCTTCACAGGAACAACACATTGAGCCCTGGAGCCACACTTACAGAGGGAAGAGCAGGGCCTCGTGAGACTTGTGCTGTTTATCTCATTAGAACAGGAGGCACATAACTCAAAGCCCGCGTGTGTGGTACATGGAGGAAGGGGGAGAGGAGGATGGAGTCACAGCTGCTGTCAGGGAAATTAACCTTGAGGAGCACGTCAGGGCGAGGGGTGGGGATGAAGGAAGGAAGCAGGAAGCTGGAGAGGGGAAGCCAGGCTTCCCTGGTAACCAAGGCCACTGCCACCCTCCACTGACATATCCTACTGAGCAAACTGCAACTCCAGTTACAACACTCATGCCCATGTGCCTGCACAGCCGGATGACCCCCACCCCCAACACACACACATAGAAACTCATACACTTGCTGGGAGAACTGGCTCCATGGAAAAATCTGGCTTGACAGGCTCAATGCCTACGTGGTCCGCAGACACCAGACAAACAGCTTGTTAAACACGCTGCTCAAGTTCAGCAGGTAGACAGAGTGCTCTGAACATCTCTGACAGACAAAGCGGGAGCTATTAAGAATTCAGCAGATGAGATGAGGAAGAAAAGAGGGAAGGACAACATGGGATAGGAACAGTAATTGAAATGGAGAAGAAAAGAATGGGAGGGGCTTCCTGTTCTCCCACCCAGAGTTGAACTATGGCCATTCAAGCCTGCTGGGGAAGAGCTTTCCCTGCACATCTCACAAAAGTGGACCTGTAGTCACCGCTGAGCCTTCCCAGTGGTGGAAAACTCATTACGTCACAGGACAGACCGTCCCATTGTTGGCCAACTCTTATGGTGATAAAGAGATTCACCACACCCAGATTCTGAATCAAAATCTACCTTCCTATAACATGTCAATTTGTCTATTCTGTGTCCCAAGAGCAAATAAGAATCAACTACATCCCAACTCTTTATCCAAAATACCCTCCTGGGTTTGAAGGGAGCTACCAAGAACCCAAAGAACGAGAGAGAAACAGGGGTTGGAGGAAAGAGGTGGTGACTCCACCTGCTCAGACAGGTAACTGAAATCAAAAATCCAAACTCTGCTGCCCTTCTGTCATCTACCCAGTCCTAAACAGGAAAGGGATGGAGCAAGAGGCTCCTGTCCAGAACACTTACAGGATCCTCCACATCCTGCTTCCACACCTCTCACCACAATGGATTGTTTTACAGCCTCCATTTTATAAACAAATAATGACATGAGTCAGGGATTCTTTACCAAGACTGGGCATTAGATCTGCATTAAGTAGTTACTGAAAAGGGCATCTGCGTGGCATTTGCAATCTTTCTGAACCAGCATATCTGAGACACACCAAGGTGGTTGGAGAAATGCCCACATAAGGAACTCTGCACTAGAACAAATCTTACTCATATTTATATCCCCAGGACTTATCTGGCACATTAAGAGGTGTCCTGTTTGTGTCTGTAACAAACCCCCAAGTAGGAGCCTAAAGAATGGGCAAGACTTTTTCACTTACACCAGCAGTGTTTCCCTGGTGACCTCCCCTCCCCTCTGCTCCCTTCCCTTCTTGGTTTATTTAAGAGTTGTCCTGACTTCAAGGACCACTTTTTCAGTGAAACGTTCTTGAGCCTCCTAGGCTCCAGTATCTTTTCCCTTCCCTGAAAATCTGGAGTCCTGGGCACTTGACACTACACTCTACGGCTCAGCATGACTATCTGCTCACCAACTTTCCCCTTCCTGCCTACCTTCCTGTTGCCCTCCTGGAGTCATCTTCTCCCTTTCTAAGATTTAATTCCAATATTCCTAGTACCAAGACTACCCAGGCAAGGTAGGCCTCAACTCAAGAGTTCCATCCACCTCTTCTGGCCCAAGGGTTCCTTTCATTGGTCTCTTCATACTCAAAGCTGACACAGGAACAACAAATGACCATTTACCAAGCTCTTACTCTGCATGATGCCAGCACCTTATACTGTCTCATCTTGGCAACAACCTTATGAGACATTTAAAGACTAAGGACTGCAAGGCAAACAGTGACCAAGTAACTGGGCCAAGGTCACACAGCTCCTAAGGGGAGTCTAGCTCACCACCCATGCTCAGAACCTCTGCACTATCCTACCTAAACCCCCACCAAGCCAGACACAGCAGGACTGATGTTCAGAGTCCTGTACTTATGGGAAAACAGCTCTCCACACCAAAGCTAGTCCTTAGCCCACCCTCCCACCCACCCCACCCCCCATGCAGAATTACTTATCCTTTCTTCTCACATCACCAACTCTAACTGCTCAGAGACAGAGGCATCCTGGAAACATTAAAGCATTGTAATATGG